CCTATATATGTAATATCAAAGCAATTGGACTTGCGGTTTTCAACAAGAAGTCGAAAATATCACTTTTACCAAAAATTACAAAAATATTCACCAAAATTAGAGAATTAAAGATATCATTACAAAATGAACAAATCTGAGAGAGGTCCACATGTAGTACCTATATATGTAATATCAAAGCAATTGGACTTGCGGTTTTCAACAAGAGGTCGAAAATATCACTTTTTACCAAAAATTACAAAAATATTCACCAAAATTAGAGAATTGAAGATATCATTACAAAATGAACAAATCTGAGAGAGGTCGACATGTAGTACCTATATATGTAAATATCAAAGCAATTGGACTTGCGGTTTTCAACAAGAAGTCGAAAATATCACTTTTTACCAAAAATGACAAAAATATTCACCAAAATTAGAGAATTAAAGATATCATTACAAAATGAACAAATCTGAGAGAGGTCCAAATGTAGTACCTATATATGTAATATCAAAGCAATTGCACTTGCGGTTTTCAACAAGAAGTCGAAAATATCACTTTTTACTAAAAATGACAAAAATATTCACCAAAATTAGAGAATTGAAGATATCATCATGAAATGAACAAATCTGAGAGAGGTCTACCCAAGGTACATATACACCAAGTATCAAAGCATTCAGGCTTGTAGTTTTCAAGAAGAAGTCGAAAAAGTAAAACATTGACACGGACGACGGACGACGACGACGGACAACGACGACGGACGACGACGGACAATCACTCATATGATAAGCTCCGCTCGACAAAGTCGACAGCGGAGCTAAAAATAGGGGGAAAGGTATATTTGCTGGATTTTATTTTCACTGAATTATTCCTTCAGCGAAAATTTATTCCAAGGAAAAATAAAGTATTTTACAATATAGCTAAAAAGACAATCTTTTGATTATGAAAAATTGGTGCAGTGATTGTCTTCTTGTTGTTCTTTTTTTTGTTCATTTTTCTTTTTGTTTTAAATATTTTGACAGAAATTAGGAAACAACTCAACAGATGTGCACACTGACCAGAAAACGAGTTGTTTCCATGCTGTACTATCTACAATTTTTAAAAAAAGCCAAAATGATCAGAGAAATCTAATTCTGTTTCAGATATATAATTGAATTACATAATGTGACAGCAGGAAATTATAAGATAAGCAACTGTTGTGATATAAAACAAAGATCTGAATATTTGAAAAAAATCACATGAACTGCCAGACAATCACAAAACTATAAGACAAACATACATACAAGACCGTTGTGTGTCTGTGAGAAAGCTTGTGTTCATGTTTGTTTTTGCTAGAAGTGTCTAGTATGCTTATTCGCAAAATGCATTTAAAAGAAAATTTGTTCCTCATCATCGCAAGCATCAGTTTAGAACATACACCACACACATTTTTTTTTTGCAATTTTGCATACCGGTAAAGTACACCACCTGTGGTAGAATGGAGAAATTGTTTTGGTTTTTTTATAACTCAGAAGAGATTTTGTCAGTCCAAATTACTCTTTAATGCATGAATTGGAAAGCATTATTTAGAAATATTAATCATTGAACATATTATATCAGCTTGAGACTGCAGCACAGGACCGCACACGCTGGAGAACTGTCATCGATGGCCTATGTTCCAGGAGGGTCGACAAACCAAAGTGAAGTGATATATATCTTGTTGTTATGGAATTAGTACCAAATAATCTTATAAAAATCCACACCAACAAAAATAATGAGAACAGACATTTTTTTTCTCGCATACATTGGTCATTATACGGCCAAGGTAATAAAATCAACCTTCCAAAAATTCATCTGAAAATTCATCTATTTTAGAAATATGTTTTGAATATAAATAATTGTTATTAGAAAAAACTTTTGTGATATTTATACTGACCAATAATATTACCAAGTTTGAGATTATTTTGATTGAAACGTCAGCTCAAATTTCATGTAAATTAACAATGTACCATATCGAATACAATGCAGAACGACGATTGTAGCGTTTTGAAATTACTATCGATATCAAAGACATGAAAGATTATAAATGTCAATGACCACAACACTGTCATATCACACCATTATAATGCACAGCAAAAAATAATCATTATAAAATTCTCATAATAAAAAGAATAGATTACTTTAAAATGCCTTACTATTGGTATTATAATCCATATAATCTACTTCATAGATGTTATCTTCAGGGGATGGACCCAAAGGATGAACCACGGGAGCTGGTCGACTTGACAACGATACATAATCAAAACTCAATATACCATGATGATAGAACGACTTCAAACACATACTGTCATAGTCGCTAAGTACTTTGTCAAAATACAAAGTAGAGTTTGCTTTCAGCACTGAATAATAATCGGTTTTGTTTGTGTCTGCTAATACACACGTAGCCCCCACGCTGATTTCTAACGTTGACGCCAGCTTGGCAGGTCCAGCGTCACCATCCGGGGATTTGTACACTGTATAATGACTCCCATATTTTGCTTCATTGTTGTATGGAATGTAGTTGCCTTCAGGGTGTTCCAGCTGATGGTATTGCGATGGTGATAATACCAGTGGGGGTAGATCACCAACTTGGGGAGCCAGCAATGCTACTGTCATGGCAATGCAGATGAATAAAGCTGGCAGTAAGAGCTGTGAAAACAAGCCTTTCCAGTTTCTTTTGGAATGATGAAATCGTTTTAATAGTAGCCCAACAAATTGGGTTATTGTCAGTGAGAATCCAGTCAGTTTGTAGCTGCCAGCACCTTCCAAGCACTGATTGGGTCTTGGATCACCTGTCAATACAAAAGTGTTACAGTTACTGAACATATCAATGCATATGTGGAGTCATTTTAACCCTTTGAGCGTAAAATTTGTTTTCCAATCAAAATGGGGGGAATTTGCTCACATTTTTTGTAATTTTCACTTAATTCAATCTTAATTTTCGACTGAACAGACAAAATGAGATATTAGTTCTTGTTTTTGATAACAAAATTTGAAATTTTCTTCAACATTTTCTGTGGAAAAAACTGACTACAGTATAATTAGAACCATTTTGTGGACAGTCCCTGAAGTTGAATTTGGCACTTGGAGGGGTAGAAAATATCCTAGTTGAATTTGATTGGATAAAAACTGTTTTTAGTTACCATAACCACATGCAATGTGCACTAAAAAAACGGTGCAAGTGCTACCAACTTTGACATGGACAAGATTTTTTTTTATCTACAATACCTTTATTTTGCATGATAATAAAGACAACTAAATTGTATCGTTTGTTACACTATGAATAACTAATGGTAATATATCGATAACCTCTATTTTTCTATTCTTGAAAATTCAATTATAGAAATTCAATGAAAAAACTGGTGGGAAAGCACATTTAAACTTGTTGTATTTAAAAGACCTGTGATAAAAAACTGACTGATTGGAACAAATTTCAGCGATAAGGTAAATAATACATACAAATATACTGCATTTCATTATCTCTACTTACCACTAGAATTATCTGAATTGCTTTCATTAACAATATCTTGTGATAGTGATTCACCAAAATTTAACAATGGTTCAACTTCACCCAGTTGCCTTTGGTACACTTCATCCAGTGTTACGTCACCAGTATCATCGGTAGGTTCCACAACATTCTCGCACATTTCCACGTTTACTGGATGCACTGGTGACAACGACAGGTCACTAGTAGAGAGTGATGAAGCATTCGGTGGAGAGTATCTAACAGACTGGCAGAGTCTAACACTCCTTCCCGGAGTTTCCGGAGTTCCTTGGGCTCTAGATGAATTGACAGCAATGCAGTTCTGAGGAGACGTCGCCATACTATTGGACAATAAACTAAACGTTTCTTTATCCATTGCATCTTCATCTAAAACAAATATATATATATATATATACATTAGAGGTACTTTTCAGATAACAGTTTATTATCATACACAAAAGTGTGATACATGTATCCACTCATTCCTATTGTTAAAGAAGTGACAATATCACACGTTATTGCAGTGTTTAAAATGAAAATATCAGTTCTGTGATTGGTGTTATTTTATATTTTTACTGATTGGGACTACTTCACGATTGTCATGAAAACAAAACAGCTAGGGCAGTGTAAATAAATGCAATTCACTCAGGATGAAACATATTAAAATATTGTTCCCTAATTATATTTCAGATGTTTTTCCATAAAAACTAAATGTAAATATTGCAAGTGTGTCGATGTTGACTAGCTCTTGAAAAGCTATTTTTTGTGGCTCTCGCTGCGGATGATAATAATGGGAGCGTCGAGAAAAGTGTTTCACAGTGTTTCAATTATGCTGGAAAACAAAACAAGAGTAACAGATGATGGCCAACAGAATTTTGGGAATTTACCAATGAAAAGCCTGTGTTTCTTGTAGGCTTAGATTCAATAGAGCACAATAATGAATATTTAACTACTCAATCAATTATGCATGATAAAGATTTATTATTGTGAAAGCGCCCATTTCAAATGTACCTGATCGCTACATATAAATATAAAATGCTACTAAATTCCAAGATGTGTTTGCAATCATGTAATTCAAGGTCAGCTTTATGAATTCATGCCTTCTATATGAGCTGTTGCATGTACAATAAAGAGGTTATACTGCTTTAATTATTTACTACTTAATCATACAACAGAGGTCTGTGATCATACTAACCCGATTTAAGAGAGAGAATATGTGTACATTGTATGTCTATGCATAAGTAAATAGTTGTAATAATTCTTTTTAAGATTAAATAGATCTGGAATAAACCAATTGATAAATTCATAGCACACAACATATTTCCATGTCAAATTCCATATTAAAAAAAAAATTTTTTTAAGTAAAAACAAAGCCATCAATGCTTATTTTGAAGTGTCGTTGAGGTGCCATGACTGAGTGTATTATATTTAAATCAAAGAAAGCTTAGAAAGAACTCCCATGTGCTGAGAGTATTGGAGACACATTAAATATAATTCGAAATTACTTAGCTGAAAACTAATTATGCAAATCAGAAAATTAATATGACCAGATTTGAGTGTAAAACTAATGAGGTCTGCGCAATGTAACAGAAAATCTATGTCTCCAAGTTTAATTGAAATGTGATTAGAACCAAAAAATTATGAATTATTATGCTTATTAGGGAATTAATATGAACAGATTTTTACCCCAAACTAATTAGGTTTGTACATTGTCCTAGAGCATCTTTGTACTAAGTTTCATTGAAATGGAATAATTAGCACCGTGAAAACTCCAAAATTTCGACCCCTCTAAAAATTTGACCGCCTATTTATTTGCCGGGTTTCGGTGTTTTATTTACCTCCAAATTTTCGACTCCACTAAAAATTGCCGACTCATTCTTATTCGAAAATTGCGACCAGTTTTAGTTTTCCCCCAAACGAAAAAAAAACCGATGTGAGCGTTCAAACGGGACCTTCCTCAAAGGCATGAATCCGGGTTTCTGATTGACTGAGAGATTTTTATTTTATTGGTAACGAAAATATATTCTAAATAAACGAAGTTTCAAATAAAAACGAACACAAAATCTCGGCATGCTGCGTTTCTGAATTGTGATTATTACTGTACTCAGTAGTGATTATAATATGTACACAAAAATAAATTTGTTGATGGTTATGAAATACAAATAAAA